ACTTGGGTGAGCAGGTGCACCAGGCAGTGTGTAAAGTTTTGTTTCCGGACGGTCGTCGCCACCGACGCCGACCGGTTGAAGATCCATGTGCCTCCAGGGAAAATGGCTCCTATTATACCTATACGACCACCCTTCGGGTGATAAGGAGGTTCGGGGGAGGAGGAACCAACGTCTCACTCGATCGGTCTCACTATCGATCTCACTATCGATCTCACTATCGGTCTCGCTCGATCGACCACACTCAATCGATCCCACAATCGATTTCTCGCGATCTATTTCATTCGATCGATCTCACAATCGATCTGACTATCGATCTCACAATCGATCTCACTATCGATCTCACTGTCGATCTCACTATCGATCTCACTTTCGATCTCACTATCGATATCACAATCGACCTCACAATCAACGCCATCATCGTCATCATCATCATCAACATCATCGTCATCAACGTCATCAACATCATCATCGTCATCGTCTCATCATCATCATCATCACCATCATCATCATCATCGGGACACCATCATCACCATCACCATCATTGGGACACCATCAGCATCACCATCATCATCAGCATCATCATCATCTGGACACCATCACCATCATTATCGGAACACTACCACCATCATCATCAGCAGCATCATCATCTCATCCTCATCATCATCATGAACAGCATCATCTACATCATCATCATCATCATTGGGACACCATCATCACCATCAGCAACAGCATCACCATCGGGACATCATCACCATCATCATCATCGTGACCATCATCATAACCATTATCATCATCGGGACACCAGCATCATCATCATCAACATCAGCAGCATCATCATCGGGCCACCATCACCACAATCATCATCATCATCATCACCTCATCATCATCCTCATCATCAACATCATCATCATCATCGGGACACCATCATCGTCCTCATCATCATCATCACCATCATCATCCTCATCATCATCGGGACACCATCATCATCATCATCATCACCATCATCATCAGCAGCATCACCATCGGGCCACCATCACCACAATCATCACCATCACCTCATCATCATCCTCATCATCAACATCATCAACATCGGGACACCATCATCGTCCTCATCGTCATCACCATCATCCTCATCATCATCTGGACACCATCATCATCATCATCACCATCATCATCAACAGCATCATCAACCTCATTATCATCATCACCTCAGCATCTCATCGTCATCAACATCATCAGAGGATCATCAACATCACCACCATGGCCACCATCATCATCAGCAACATCAGCATCATCAACACCATCATCATCATCATTGGGACACCATCATCATCACCATCATCAACATCACCATCATCATCTGAACACCATCACCATCATCATCGGAATACTACCATCATCATCAGCATCATCATCTCATCGTCATCATGAACAGCATGATCTACATCATCATCGTCATCGGGACACCATCATCATCAGCAGCATCATCATCTTCGGGATATCATCATCATCGTGACCATCATCATAACCATTATCATCATCGGGACACCATCATCATCACCACCATGGCCATCATCATCATCATCAACATCGTCATCATCATCAGCATCATCATCATCATCATCATCAACATCGTCATCATCATCAGCATCATCATCATCAACATCATCATCATCATCATCATCATCATCATCATCATCATCATCATCATCATCATCATCATCATCATCATCGGGACACCGGCGGGACACCGCGCGGCATTGGCTCCCAGAGAGGAAACATTTGGTCCGGCCGCGCCTCAGCCGGAGGCGGGACACCGGCAGGACACCGCGCGGCACCGGCCCCCGGACAGGAATCATTTGGTCCGGCCGCGCCTCAGCCGGAGGAGACTTTCTTCTCGCCCGCCCCCGCAGCTTCGCCTCGCCCGCCCGCACGCACGGCACGCACGAACACGAGACCGAAACAGATTTCCCGGTAGGGGGGCTCTCCGTTCCACTTCGGTCTCACCCCCTCACCTCCGATGTTCACGATGGCGGAGCCCGTGGTTCGCCCCACAGGTCCCGCGCGCGCGGGTGGTTCTGCGGAGCAGCCGCCTCCCTGCGACAGCCGCGGCCGCACCCGCGACGGCCCCGCCGAATGCGGGTACAACTGGCCCAGATTGTGACGTGATGCTGCACGATGTCCGAGAGGGTTGGTGCAACCCAAGCACGAGCCGATTCGCGGAGCTGTGCTCGGGGGTGGACAGAACCCCCAACAGTGACACGTCGATTAATGAATTGTCCGTTTTCGGTTCTCGAGAGGGCGCCGTGGCCGTTATTTTCCAGGCTCGCGCCCGCCAGGTTTGGGCCTCAGGTCGTTTTCACTAAACCACGTCGTGCTAAAGGGGGTTCTGTCCATCCCCGATGTGCTACGCCGGTTGTGAAAACGGAGAATCCGGGTATGTTGCTACCGCCCCTCAAGGCAAGCACAAAGGGATGAGGCGACCCGTCGGTCGCAGCGCCACGCTTGGTGCCAGTCTGATTGACGATGGTGGGGCATTCACGGTGTTTCACCTGAGTTGTAAGACGAATTCTCTTTTAATCTCGGTCGTCAGCCGCAACATGTGCTAGAGAGAATCAGCGCAGCAACTTGAAAACAAAACGTCCGGGCAAAACTCCAACGTCTAGCGAACGCCCTGGGGCACGTTAGCAAGATCGCCGGAACTATACAGTTAGGGGCACGAGGTCCAGAGGAGGTGGAAGCAAACGCTCTAGCGAATTCAAGGCCGCTCAACAATGCAAATATGTTCTCGGGTGAGCGGACCAAGTTCACGGAGTGGAGCGAGCAGTTGTTGAACGAGCTCGCCAAAGTGAAGCACGGTTATCGGAATCCCCAGAAATATTTCAACAACGAGCTCGAAACCAAGGATGGGGCACTACCCGATGACGAAGATGATGATTTGATCCTGATGATGAACGGGAAGGTAACGCAGAGTGCTTTGCATCAGAGCGCCAGTGACAAACAAATGAGATGGCGACGCAAAAGGGAAATACGAACTCGACGAAGATGACTACGCAACGTTGGACGAGGAGCCCTTGCATGTATGGAACAACAGCGACAACATGGAAGGAACGGAGCCTCGCGGAAAACCCTATTGGCTTATAGTCTTACCAGAAGATAGTACCACTCGCACTCACCCGCTACAGGAATCACACTTTCACACAAGATGAGCCTGGCCATGAATTCAGAAAACCCAAGAATGTCAACAACGTGGCGACGTACCTTGAACAATGGAATGCGTGGGCAAGATCCCTGAAGAAGTATACTGCCAACGCCGCCGACCCGAAAGACGACGACGCCGAGGACGAGGAGGAGGCAGAGGAGGAGGAGCAGGAGGAAAAGCAGGAGGACTCTCTAGAGGCTTCTTGGGGGCCTCTTGGGGATTCCTGGGGGCGTCTTGGGAGTCTCTTGGGCCTCGGGGGCCTCTTCGTTCCTCCTGGGAGCCTGTCGGGGGCGAGGGCTCGAAGTGTCCGCTCTGGCCCCACATCTGCGCACGCTGTTGGAGCCGTCTGGGGGGACTCTTGGCGGCGTCTTGGGCCGTCTTGGGTCTTTCTTGGGCCGTTTGGGGTCTCTCCTGGAGGCCGTTTCGATTGCTTTGGAGCGATATGAGGCCTCTTGGGCCGTTTTGGGACGTCGGGGGGGGGAAGAGGCGATAACGCCGAACCGCTTCAAGAATCGATTGGAAATCGATGGGTTTTCCTTTGGAGGAGGAGGAGGAGGAGGAGGAGGAGGAAGAGGAGGAGGAGGAGGAGGGGGAGGAGGAGTGGGATGAGGAGGAGCGAGGACGAGGAGGACGAGGAGAGGAGGACGAGGAGGAGGAGGAGGGAGGACGAGGAGGAGGAGGAGGAGGAGGAGGAGGAGGAGGAGGGGAGTGAGGGGCGAGGGCCAGGGAGTGATGAGCGCGGGCCGAGGGGCGGGGAGCGAGGAGCGAGGGGGAGGGGGGCGACGGTGGGGGCGAGGGGGAGCCGACGGGGGGGGGGGCGAAGGAGGGCAAAGGGAAGGGGGGGAGGGGCGAGGGGAAGGGAAACAGAACGGATGAGGAGGAGGAGGAAGAGAGGGAGGTAGGGGGGAGGAAGGAGGGCGAAAGGGAACGGAAGAGAGCAAGGCGCCCCCCGCTCCGGCGTCGGAATCCGGCCGACAGACCCCCGGCCGCGCGGAGGGGCGGCTTGCGGGCACTGCTCGCGATGAGGGCCCGCGCCGGGCGGTCCGGCCGGGCGCGCGCCCCGACGGGGGGGTGGCGTCAAGCGGCGCGGAAGGAGAGGAGAATACGAGGAACGAAAAAAAGAGAGGAGCGGACTGAGGGGTCCGCGTATACGCGCTATGTTTATGCACGGACCCCGCGCCCCCGGCCTCTCCGTCACCCTGCGTCGAAGCGGCGGCGATTAGGGGCTGCGGCGGGTCCTGAACGTCAAGGCGTAGGACAATTAGGAGGGCGGCGGACGAGTTGAGTGGACGGGTTTCTTCCGTTATGTCTCTCTCTTTTTTCTTCTTTCGTGGCCGCCATGCTTTACATGTTGACTAGTGTGGCTGTTTTGGTTTTTGGGGGCGGCGGGGATGGCCACCTTCCCACGACGACGACGCGTCTTTGCCGGGCCCCGTGGCCGGTGGAAGGGTCAGAGTCACCGCGGCCCTCGCCACGCCAAGCGTTGGCCCGCACACCACGGTCGTTGTCCTCTGCGGTCAGCGTGGCCCTGCGGGTCAGTGCGGGGCGCCAGTTGCACCACCTCCCCTCGGGGGCAACGATAGGGGGGGGATAGGCAGAGGGGGGTTGCATCGACCCCCAATCGCCCATTGATCGCCGATAGGGGCCCGATAGCACCACCCCACCCAGGAAGGTGTGGATTCACTATCGGGGGCCTATCGCTGATCTATCGGCGATGTATCGCCGATTCCAGGTCGATGCATCCCCCCCTGTGCCTATCCCCCCTATCGTTGCCCCTCATCCCCTTGTCCGCGCGCAGGACGAGCAATTGCCGGCGGTGTACGTTCTACCTGTATTCGAAGACGGAGCGCGTCGGCCTCATGTTGCTCCTTCCCCTCCCCCTCCCTCCAGCGTGCCCCTCCCCCGATCGTCGAAGCCATCACCGACCGTGTGTATAATTCCTTTTTCGTGCCTGATGCCTCAGCGGTGGGTACCTCGCTTCCGGCCACAAGGGCAGCGCCCTCCCACGAGCAGCGCACGGCGGCACTAGCGGAACGAATTCGAACCGAGGAAGCCTTTCGCAGGCGTCTGTAACTCTTTCCTTGGGAACCAGTGGTCCAGCGTTGTGCGCCCTCGTCTTCTGGACAGTCCTTTCTACGTTCCCCAATCAGTGCTTGCACTGAAGGGGTCCTCGCGGAAGTTGAAGGATTTGGCGAAAGTGTCCCGCCGATTTTTGGTCCTAAGGTGGGCTCCTGGGTTCCCGGTTCTGGGCTCCCGGGTTTCCGGTTCCAGGTTCCGGGCCGATTCGGAGGGCGGCGAGGTTCCCGGGTTCTTAGTCGATCTTCTTATCGATCGGTCTCACCATCGATCTCATTACCCATTTCTCTATCGATCTCACCATCGATCTCACAATCGATCTCACTACCCATCTCACAAGCGATCTCACTAGAGATCGTATGAGCGATCTCGCGATCGATCTTACTATCGATCTCATTGAATCGATGTCATTTTCGGTCTAACGATCGACCTAATAATCATCCTCACTATCGATTACACTATCGATCTCACTATCGATCTCAAGATCCATAGGATTAATTGTCATACCATCCACTGATTGGGGTTTTCTCAGGTGTACTCTAACATTTGTCCTCGTCCATTGGTCCTCCTGTAAATGTTTGGGCGTCTGTTGTTTTTTGGGGGGGGGCACATCTGGAGACCTTTGGAGATGCAACCACAAATGCAGCGTTTATGCTGCCAGTCTCTACCCCTCGAAATAGGTGAGGAAGTGTAGGGTCCCAAGAACGCTGGACGGAGCCGCCCCTGCTGTCCAGGATAGGCCTGGGCTTCGCCGCCTCGGGTTCCGCCCGTCCCCCAGACCACCCGTGGGGCCCCTTGAGGTTCCGGCCAGCCCTGCGGAGGTCTGAAACGTAACGCTGCCACTGCCCTCCCCCCCGTGTGTTGCGGACTGGATTTCGGAAAAGCGTCAGAGTGACCCGTCGCTGGAGTGATCTTCGGTGTGGGCGCACAGGGGCCCCCCCCAGCTCTGGCTTTCGCACTTGGGTTTGGCCCCCCGCGGCCCCCGAGAGCCGCGCATCATGGGTCATTATTGTATGTGCCTGTTGATCGCCAGGTTTCGACGGACAGGGACGCCATCACGCACACGACCGTCAGGGTCAGGGGGCGGCGGCGCGACCGTCAGGGTCAGGGGTGGCCACCACCGAGGGGAGACGACCCCAACGAAGCTACGCAGAGAATTGGGTTCGATTGCCCGGACATTCGCTTCGTGTTGGTATGCTGCGGGGGTTGCGGTGTGTCGGGCTGCCGGAGCATATGGTGGAACTCATGCCTGCAATCTACACAGACACGTTATTCGAGGTGCGCGATTGTGGGGCGACTTCGCTTGCGAAGCCGCAGTCGCCTGGGATATCGCAAAGGGTACCCCTTGTCACTGTTGTTGTTTGTCGTGACAATGACATTTATCATCGAAGGCGTTGCTGCGCCATTTCCGAACAAGAAAAAGCAAAACAAAACACAGCAAATTGCGGGATCGTGGATCCTGATCATTGTTCTGTACGTACATGGCACGCGAATGCCGGGAAAGACCCAACAGGGCGTTGAACAGATGTTTGCGGCGGTTCGAAATGCTGGAAATCCTTACGGCGTGGAGTCACATCCATGCACATTCCATGTTCTTCAAGGCGTAAGCGAAAACAGTATTGAAGAGACGCAAGGTACTATCATACCTGCTCGAGTAGACCTGATCTTTTAAGGGCTTTGGTGTCTGGACAGGGGGACGCGAGCAACGAGGCTGGTCGTCTTGGCGCAGCCCAGCTGATATCTATGAACCTTCTAAAAGTACGGCGTCATCCCAGTCTTAGCCGGCATCGAAAAATCGAGGTGTATGAAGCCAAACAAAGCGGTGGTCGTTGGCGCGTTGACATATGGGATTTCACTGTTGTGGTGCAGCGCTGATAGCCTGAAGCGTTTGGCTGGTATTCAGTGCCGGCGTCGCCGTGCGATGTGGTGTATCACGCCAGCGTGTATGTCAAGAATGGGCAACGCAGTTGTAGCAGGCCAGGCTGGACAATCCTTTTTGACAAGGCGGCGTGGCTCGACAACAGCTATTCTTGTTAGGGAAAGCCGCAAGGTCGCGGGAGGGACCCCCCCAGTAGGTATCTTCGGCCAGGATCAGGCACGCACGCGAAGAAAGTTGGCAGGCCGCGCGCGCACTGAACAACCCGAGTGCCATGCGTTGCCCTCGCAGCGGCCGGCGGCGTAGCAAGCCTGACCCCACTTTTGCCAAGGAGAGCTTCCCGGGGGCGCTGTGCCCGCGCGGCGAAGCTGTCAGCGTGGCGCAGCATATAGGCCAATCCCTGGGACCCCCCTCGAAACGTCGTGAGGATGCGCAAATCATTAAGAAAACGCCAGATGGGGGACCGCCCCCCCCCCCCTCCCTTCCCCGGGGGGGGGTGTCCGGATGCGCAAATCATTAAGAAAACGCCAGATGGGGGACCTCCCCCCCCCCCGCCCCCCCCCTTCCCCGGCAGAGCCGCCCCGGCGACCCTTCCCAAGCACAGGTGAAGCTCTTGCTGAGGCTCCTTGTAGTTCACACGCCGGATCGGCGGATATTCAGGCACCGCGTTTTTTGTTCTCATCCATTGCCCTGCGCATTTCCGGGCGCGCGATTTGGTGTTTGCTTGCTTGCCCAGTCGTCCGCGCGCAAGTTGCCCGCGCAAGGTCGCGCGCAAGCGCCCTCGTTTCTCACGTCGGCGACGGCGGAACGGGGAGCGCCTTGGCCACCGAAGGGGGGTTGAGCGACGCCACCAGCAGCAAGATGTTCGGTCAGACTCTCTCGAATGAAGCGATTCTTCGATCCCGGCGGCGGCGCCCACGCGCAGGCCGCCTATGGATGAGGGATCAGCCGCCCCCGCGACGCCCGAAGCTGGCAGCCCAGCCCCCGAGGGCGACTTCCCGTCAAGAGTGCAGACCACCCAGAGCCCCCGACCTCAGCGGCCTCTCGGCGATGCCAAAATTGCATACTTGTCCTCACGATTATTCCCCCCCGTTTCTCATCCGCGCTTGCAGTTAGCGGGAATGACGCGCGCGCGCGACCATCGTTCGGGCGACGAAGGGGTTTCGCTGGACAGGGGGGGGGAGGACCGATTGATGACAACTGCGGTGATTGGGATGGTGGCGACGCCGGCGATGCGCTCGCGAGTTTACGACGACGCGGGATGACGATGCCGGTGGGAATGCGTGGCGGCTGTTGCGATGGTGGCGACGCGCGGCGCAGGCGACGGCGCCGGGCGGGGCGTCGCGAACGGGCTGCGCGCAGTAGCGGCGGCGCATCGTGCCACCTCGGCTGGCGGGACCCGGCCAACCGGCGGCAGCGTAGCAGGCGCCAGCGGCGCGACGCGCCCGCGACGGTGCACTCACGCCAGTGATTGATTGCGCCACTTCCGCCATCGCGGGCAAAGCGATGCCGCCCCCGCTGCCCGGCGGGGATGGCCGCGGCAATGGTGATCGCGACGATGGTGGCGACGAACAGAAACGAGGCGATGCGACCGCGAGGTTTCCTCAGAACGCAGAGCCGCGCCAGCGGGTCAAGCCCAGCCTCTGGGCCCGGCAGGGCCTGGGGCCCTTGTTCCGCCCCGAGCGCCTCGAGCTATGCCGCTAGATATTTCTTCTGTTATGTATAGTGTTTTTTTTGTCTCTCTCTCTCTCTCTCTTTCTTTCTCTCTTTCTCTTTTCTAGGTCCGCCAGATGGGGTCCGAGTATATGGGGTCGGATGATGGCGCCGCATCGGCGATGCATCGGCGATGCGGCTTGATGTAGAGCCCGATTCTCTCCATTCCGGCGTCGCCGATGCATCGCCGACGTCGCCGATGCATCGTTGGTGCATTTCCGGTGCATTGCCGATGCATCGGCGATGCGGCGCGATCTTCCGACCCCATTTTTTCCGACCCCATCTAGGAGGCCTCTCTTTCTCTCTTTCTCTCTCTCTCTCTCTCTTTCTCTCCCTTTTTTGTTCCTCTCCCTCTCTCTCTCTCGCTCTATCTCTCTCTCTCTCTGTCTATCTCTTTCTCTATTTCTCTTTTGTCACTTCTCGTCGACGTTGCGGCGGCTCGTCGGGCCTGGAGTCGCGCCCGCAAGGTCGCGAAGGGCTCGCGCGGACTGGGCCGTGCTCCTTTTTGGGGCCCAGCTGAGCTTGGGCCCGTCGGTGCGCCTCGCGCGTCTGGAGCTCTGCCACAAGCACTCCGTTCCATGGTCTTCCCATTTCCCCGCCGGTTTTGCGCCTGCACCTGACGGCCGGAGTCTCGCCCGCAGGGTCGCGCAAGTTTTGCGGGGGCGCGCCCGCACGGGTCAGAGGGAAAAAAAAACACAGACACAACGAATCGTCGACTCCCCAGAAAATATGGGAAAACATGGGAAGTGGGGGGGGGGAGGCAGAAACCCAGAAAGCATGGGAAAATTTTGGGGGACCTTGCCGTATTCCTGTGCACTTCTTTGTGTGTCCCGGGGCTCCTTCGGCGAGCCTCGCGCGCGCCTGCTCCCTCGGCGCGCCAGGCGACGCGCGCCCGCCCGGGAGCGCCCCTCCGGGGCGTCCTGGGCGGGGGCGGCGCGGCGCCGGCTCCTCGCGGGCAGCATGTTTCCTTGAAGGGCTGGGCCTGCTTTGCCACCACCACCACCACCAGAAGTTGGAGGAGGGGAGGGGGTCCTCCTCGTCCTCCTCCTCCTCCTCGTGCTCCTCCTCGTCCTCCACCACCTCGTCCTCCTCCTCCTCCTCGTCCTCCTCGTCCTACACCGCCTGCCCCCCTCCAACTTATGTTGGTGGTTGTGGCGGAAAGCAGGCCCATCATGAATCACTTGGCTCAGCGATCTCACCCCCCAACCTCCGACCTATACGACCACCTTTCGGGTGATAAGCTGTGATCAGCCGTGAAATACCGATGCTTCGGCTGGAGACCTTGGGGGGAAGAGCCAACGTCTCACTCGATCGATGCCAATTTCGATATCACGATGGATTGCACTGTCGATCTCTCCATCGATCTCACAATCGGTCTCACTATCAGTCTCACTACCGATTGCACGATCGACCTAATTATCGCTCTCACTCGATCGACCCCACAGTCGATACCACTATCGATCTCACAATCGGTGTCACTGTCGTCTTCACCATCGACTTCAGCATCTCTCGCACAATCGATTGCACTGTCGATCTCATTACCGATCTCATTATCGCTTTTGTTGTCGATCTCACCATCGACCTCACTACCGATCTCAAGATCGGTCTCACGATAGGTCTCACTACCGATCTCACAATCGATCTATCAATCGACCTCATGATCGATCTCATTATCGATCTCACTATCGGTCTTACGATCGATCTCACAACCGATCTCACTATGGGACACCGACGGGGCACCGACGGGACACGGACGGGACACCGTCGGCACACCACGAGGGGACACCCCGAGGCCACCGCTGGCCAAGCCATCGGCTTTTGGTCCGGCGGCGACCTCGTCAGAGGAGGGTTCATTGCTTCCGCCCGCCCACGCAGTTTCGCATCGCCCGCACGCACGACACGAACACGATGCCGAAACCGATTTCCCCGCGGCGGGGCCTCCGTTTCACTGCGACCAGATCGATCTCGTTATCCATTTGGCGATCGATCCCACGATCGACCATCGATCTTGCTATCGATCTCACCACCGATCGCACGATTCGACACTACGCGACATGGACGGGACACCGACGGGACACCCGCACGACACCCCCCGCGACCGACGGACAACTCGGAGATGAACCAGCGTTTCATTACATCGATTTCACTGTCGGTCTTACACTCGATCTCGCTGTCTATCTCATTGCCGATAGTGCAATCGTTCTCACGATTCATCTCACAATCGACCTCACTATCTCTCTCACCAGCGGTATCAGTACCGATGCCAATATCGATCGCGCTATCGATTTAACTGCCGATCTGACTATAGATCTGACTATTGAGATTACCATCGATCTCAGATCTCACGCAATCGATCGCACCATTGGTCGCATTATCCCTCTCACTATCGATTTCACGATCGAGCTCACGATCGGCTTCACTTTCGATCTTCACAATGGATCGCACTACGGGACACCAGCGCGACAGCGAGGAGACACTAGCGGGGCACCCGCGGGACACCCCGTCAAACAATCCAGGGAGGGAGCGGTCTTCTGGTCCAGTGGCGACTTTGCCAGATGAGGATTCACTCTTCCCGCCCGCCCACGCAGCTTCGCCTCGCCCGCACGCAGGACACGAAACCGAAACAAATGTTCTGGTCGGGTGCTCTCCTTTTCACTGCGACTCACCATCCCTCCCCCGATACAGGGATGTAAGTATTCATGTACATGTGCAGTTGAACCACACACACATATATATATATATATATATATATATACATACATACATACATATCTAAGTATGGTTATATCCTCTCTTCCCCTGCATCAGCAGGTCCCTGGTGAGGCTTGATTTCGAGTGTTGGATCTAGGCTGTCCCCGGCGCGTTGCGCGGCACAGCGTCGTACCAACCAACGCAGCGGAAGACCGTTGTCGCCCATTCTGAAAACAAGCAAGTTTTGACAAGAGAGGTACAACCGTTAGAGACCGTCCGAAACCATCCCTAGCCATTCGAAAATTGGCAAAAGTATCCGAAACCTGTTGGAAGCTTCCGAAAACCTTCGAAGCCCTCCTTCTTTTCCCTCTCCGTCCTCCACCCTCCAAAATCAGACGCCTGACTTCTCCAGAAGCGCGTCTGAACAGAATCTCGAGGAATCTCGAGGCGTCCCAGGAGGCCCCATGAGGGTCCCAGACAGCAGAAACTTGGATCCTCGAATCTCGATCCCCCCTCCTTGCTCCTCTCGCAGGCCTAGAGGTTGACACCAACACAAATATCGGCGGTGTGCCTCCACCGAGGGAAGAAGATCCCGATCTCGGTGATGGTGGTAATACTCGGGCTTCCAAGGTGACCGACATATTACCACCAACACCGAAATCTAGGATCATCTTACCACTGTGGAGGCAACCCCCTGTGTTGGTGTTGGTGTTCATTTCTAGGCTTATGATGTTCCAACCTACTTTAGCCTTGACCACGAGAAAGAATTTCGAGCCCCTCAGGAAAGTACCACAACTCAGTGGTGTTCACGTGTCGGGCCCTGGGAGGCACTCGTCCGACACTGCTTCGACACTGTCTCGACACCTTTCTGGGCGCTCGACGTTTTTTCTGGGATGTGGTCCTTAAGTACGACGGGAGCAACATAATTCTAGGCTTCCAGTCCTCGCTCCTCCCCGAGCGCCCAGCGCAAGGAACCCATCATCGAGGCCTCGGACGAGCTCACCTTCGCACCCTGGGCAGCGCGGTTCCCGGGCTGCGCGGCGCAGTTCGCGCAGGACCGCACAGGAGGGGTGGGGGTGGGGGAGGAGGGGGACGAGGAGGGGAGGAGGAGGAGGGATGATGAGGGGGAGGAGGAGGGGGAGGAGGAGGAGGAGGAGGAGGGCCGCTCGTTGTTTCCCGCTGCCTCGGGGAACAGAAGACAATCTCCTCCTCCTCCTCCTCCTCCTCCTCCTCCTCCTCCTCCTCCTCCTCCTCCTCCTCCTCCTCCTCCTCCCCTTCCCCCTGCTCCTCCTCCTCCTCCTCCTCCTCCTCCTCCTCCTCCTCCTCCTCCTCCTCCCGAAAGGTACCTTCACAGTCTTTGCCAATCTCCCCTGCCTTTCTTTTCCGCTGCCGCTTGGGGTTCGCCAGGAGATTACCTCGCACACCCGCCTTATTCGCGTTGAAGACCAGCGTATTGCATCTGTTTTCGCTCATCGCCAGCAGCCACACTCCCCACCTACAACCTATATTCTCCTTTCTAAAAGACTAATAGATTCTACCCCCCCCCCCGGACTTATCGGTTCCCCCGCGCGTGCTGTAAATTACATATGATTATGACCACATGTCCATCCGAAATATGAGTTCATACCATCCCAGCCAAGCCGGGTTCCCCCCCCCCCTGCGGTTCCCTTGTAAAAAACACTATGCGGTGACATGTTTTGTTCTAACATAGCACTTTTTCCCGAATCCCTTGCAAAAAAAGGGACGAAGTGCACACGCGCGCGTCGTGGCGCGCGCATGCCGAAATCCTTCAAAAACCTTCGGTTCCGGAGAGATTTCAAAATTGAATTTCCAAAAAACTTATAAAAACACATGGTTTCGCAACACTGATTCAAAACAAAAAAAAACTTACGCGCGAGCTCTTGCGAAATCTTAAGAAAACCACAGGTTTTTCCAAGATTTTCACAACATGCTACCAAACGGGCTTCGCGCGCGCGCATGTCGAAATCTGTCGAACGCTCTTGCGCGTGTGCCGTCGCGAGAATCCTTTGCAAAAAATGGGACGAAGTGCAGACGCGCGCGTCGTCGCGGGCGTATGCCGAAATCCTTCAAAAACTTTCGGTTTCGGAAGAATTTCGAAATCGTGCGTCCAAAAAACCTACAAAAACACAAGGTTTCGCAACACGGGTTTTCAACAAAATTGTGCGCGCGCGCTCTTGCGTCGTCGTCGTCGTCGTCGTCCTCCCTCCTCCCTCGTCGTCGTCGTCGTCGTCGTCGCCGTCGTCGTCTTCTGTCTTTCCTCGTCGTCTTTGGCGTCGTCGTCGTTTCCGTCGTCGTTGTCGCCGTGGTCGTCCTTCCTCCCTCGTTGTCTTCGTCGGCGTCTCGTCGTTGTCCCTCCTATTTCGTCGCCGTCGTCGTCGTCGTCGTCGTCGTGGTCTTCACTCCTCCCTCGTCGTTATCCTCCTCCCTCGTCGTCGTCGTCCGTCGTCGGCGTCTCGTCGTCGTCCCTCCTATTTCGTCGCCGTCGTCGTCGTCTTCGTCGTCGTTGTCATCGTCGTCGTCTTCCCTCCTCCCTCGTCGTTGTCGTCGTCGGCGTCGCCGTCCTTCCTCCTTCTTCGTCGTTGGCGTCGTCGCCGTCTTCCCTCCTCCATCGTCGTTGTCGTCGTTGTCGCCGTCGTCGTGTTTTCTCCTCCCTCGTCGTCGTCTCCGTTGGCGACGTCGTCGTCGTCTTCGTCGTCGTCGTTGTCGGCGTCGTTGTCGTCGTCGGCGGTGTCGTCGTCGTCGTTGTCGTCGTCGAAAGCATTGGAGACGTCGTCGATGTCGTCGGAGTCGCTGTCGGCGGCGCCGTCGTCGTCGATGTCGCTGTCGTCGTCGGCATCGGTGTCGTGGCCAAGTGCCACGCAGTACCTACCGTCACGGTCTTGTCTGAAGATGTCTTGCGACCAAGTTGCGGGTGGGAGGGTGGGATGTTTGCACGAGCAGTGGAGAGGACAGCTTCAAGACAGTCGAAGTGGATTTCATTTTATAGATGGTAGCAGAGCTACGGCTCCTTTATCCGCGATGGCCCGTGCGGTTTCTTCCCATTCTCGTCGCGATTCGGCGCCACTGGGTTCCACCATACCGCCTCTTTCGGCACGTGCATCGTGTTCACCGCTTTCGGCACCGTGGTTCACCATCACCGTTCTCACTGCCTCCGTGCACATCGTCTCTGTCATAGGGGAAGTCTCCCCTCCGCCTCCACGCGTACGCCTAAACCGCGGTTCCTTGCCGCCCCCGCCTGCTCTGTATCCCGGGCTCACGCAGACTATGCCTGGGCAGCTCGCTGATCCGACCGCCACGGCTCCCCCAAAAGTGAACATACCCACAGAAGGGGGATCCTGCCGCGTATAGTGCGCAGTCGATGGATACAGCGTCCACATCAGCGGATACGTCCAAGGGCCCCGAGCTTGTCGCAAGTATGTTGCGAGAGCCCTGGGAGGAGCAGCGCGGAGGTGGGACGTCCATGGTGGGCATGACGATTATATCGTCAGCACCCCAAGCAACAGCAAAACAGACCTGGGACGATATGTCTTCCACCCCTTGGAACACTACCAATCCACACGCCCACTCATTCCCTTCAGTCGGGCAGGACGATATCCCGATGCACGCACGTCTCGAAGATTGTGCAGTTGGTGGTATTCAGTGCCGTGTCGACTCGACGCACGAAGGGGCATCCCTATATCTATGTTGCGGGTTGCCCCGAGCGCCGAGAACGCCACAACGACGCGACAGAAGATCGCGTCCAATAGGCTGACGAGGAGGAACACATCCAGGGCAGGCACCCACATCGGCTCAGAATGTCACGGTCAGCGCAGCGCCGCCCATGGGCCCCAAGCCTACAGTTCCTCCTGGCTCTATGGAGGGGCCCCCGCTCTGGATTGAAGACCACCCGAGTGGGCATGATTGCCGCGGCGAGCGGCCAATCCTGCTCGGACGCAGGCGGCGGCAGCGGCAACGCGTGACACTTCCACGCCTGGGGGGCCCGAGCAACAGTCTCGAGTGCCGTTCCAGCGATGGGCGCGGGAGGTAATGATCTTGTCAGTGGCGAATTCAGACCTCAAGAAGTTTCGCTGGGACGCCGTCACACCAACGCGATTCGCAGGCATGGCGCGTGAGTTCGCGGGCGGATGGCCGCCAGGTGTCCTGGTCCAAGGAAGGCGCATCAACGGTAACCCATCGCCGCCGATGTCCTTCACAAGTCATAGCTTGGCCGAGCGATGGGGCGAACTGGGCGAGGAGGAGTGCGCATCCGCTTTCTCAGCACTCGTGCGCTTCAAGAGACGGGCACAGGAACGCGTCGACAACCGCCTCGCGCGCTTCGGCATCCCCCGCAACCGCGCAAAACAAGACGGCCAACTCATAATCGGTCACCAGGGTCTCGGCTACCTGCTCTTGCGCGCGGTCGGAGTGCCAAACGCCCGATTGACGATGATTCTCCAGTACTACATGGCCCGCCCGACCAACGCAACGCAACTCTCGCGCGCGACTGGGCAGCCGCGACGCCCCTGGCGCGCGATCGAGGGATCGCCCAGCAATCTTGCCTCAGCAGTTCACTCGGCCCAACAGGAAACCTCCCATACGGGAGCGCCTTCGCAAGGTCAGGCTCAGAGTGTCTACGACGCAACGGCCGGATCGAGTTGGGGCGGCCTGGGTCCAGCTGCGCCGGGGGCGGGGCCGAACCCGCTTGCGCCCGCGCCGCCTGGGCAGGAGGCCTGCCCAGCAGCAGGCATCGACTCAGGCACCGACGCCAACGCCATCGGCTCATTCGGCGATGGAGAAATCGCCGCCGACGGCCCCGAACTACGCGATGCTCACGCGGGGCAGCGCGGCGCGCGCCTAGCCTGGGATCGCGAGCGCGCGAAACTCGCAGGCGGCGTTTCAACGGCCGCGAGCCCGCGCGCCGCGCCCGGGGGGTCATTAAAGGCAACGGCAAAAGGCTATGATATTCTTGGCTGGTTTGACCGAAATATGACACCCGAGATCCGAGAGACGTCCGCGGGTGTCGCGACGGGCACAGGTAAGGGGAAAAGGGATTCAGCCCCAGAATCATGGGTCCGGGCCGACATGGCAACCCTATGGGCCCTGTCTCAAACGCCATGAGTACGAATCAGAAGAACACCTCGTGCGCGACGGGCCCCGGCGCCACAGGGCGCGTCCTTACCCGGCGCCTGCCCCCCGCCGCCAGCGCCTGCGCCGCTCGCGCACCTCGGACAGCAAGGGCCGCCAGGCCGCGCCGAGCAGCAGTCCGTGATCACAGGTGCAGGCGCGGTCTGGCCGACCAGGGGCGCCACCAAAATGCGACTGCGGGCCCCGGCGAGAGCGGCCCCGCGCGGGGCGCTGGCCCCTGGGGCGGCGGCCAGCTAACACCGGCATCTGCAGCGCAGCGGCCAGCGGCAGCAGTCGACGCTCCAAGCTCGTGGCCCTACGGCAGGCGCCCGTCCGCGGGTCCCTCGGCGAGCGGGCCCAGCGCTTGCGCTGCATCAGGCCAGATGCGGGCTGCAATGGCGCGCCCCGAGCCTCCCCTATGAAGTTCGCGCGGGCCACGCCGTCGCAGCGCTAAGCGTGCAAGGTGGGGCGGAGCTCGAAGTCAAGCGCGCGGCGCTTAGTGTTTTTTTGTTGCCGGCGACTTGAAGCAACCGCGCGCAATGTCCAAACACGTGGACGATCTGAGTCTCGCCGCAGTTGGTAGAGCGACGACAACTAGGGGCTCCCACGGGAGGGCTCGCCTTGTTTTGTGAAACCCAGCGCGCACTTCAGGTCGTACATATCGAATCAATTTGGGTGTTTAGTTGTGGCTGATCTTTTTTCGACCCGAGGTCCGATGCAGCGACCGACTGACCTCTACCTCTTCCTCCTCCTCCTCCTCCTCCTCCTCCTCCTCCTCCTGCTCCTCCTCCTCCTCCTCCTCCTCCTCCTCCCCTCTTCCTCCTCCTCCTCCTCCTCCTCCATCTCCTCCTCCTCCTCCTCCTCCTCCTCCTCCTCCTCCTCCTCCTCCTCCTCTTCGTTCTCCTCCTCGTTGGTTTCCTCCCTCTTGCCCCCCTTCCCCAGACGTGCTTGCGTCGCGAAAAAATCACGACGGGAGCTGTTTGGTCGTTTTCCGCTCTGGGGTCCCTCGTAGGGCCCCGGGGCCGTCAAACAATTTATCGGGGTGAAACTTTGGTCTTGGGGAAAGGGGTCGGGATATTCTGGGGACCCCACATTGAAAATTCAAGAGATCGGGACGTTTTGGGGCACGGGTCTCCAGAGGGCGTCTCTGCCTCCTCGCCTTGATCTCCGACCCACCTTGAGGTACGGCTCGCCTTACCACATTTTCGTTTGGATTGCAGGTGGATGAGTTTGCCAGGGTTTTAGGGCATTGCGTGTCTTCGACGCCTTACTCAGCCTTGGCATGCCAGTATCCGCCACGACTATGCCTGGAACCCAGAAAATCGCCGCGCCCGTCAGCAGGCCTCCATGGAGGTGTACCCCTCAAGGAAGTGTTGGTGACATTTAGGAGGGAGGACCGAGGGAAAACCATAAACAGGGAGCAGACAGAGAAGAGGGGGGCGTGAGGTGTTAGGAGCCTCTGCGATATATTCACGAAGTAGACACCTGGGTGGGCCCTACTCTGGCGGGGTTCCCAAGCGCTGGAACCCAGGAGCCCGGCCGCCCACCAAAAGCGGCCCGAATTTTGAGTTTGAGCAGTGTTTGGCGAGCTTTGGAGGAAAACGAGGGAACGCCAGGCGGGCTTCGATCCGCAGCGCAACCTCTGGAACGCGGTCTTCGACTTCACAGGCAGCGCCGACAGGGCTCATTGGCGCGTGCCTGGGCTGGAAGAGCTTGTAGAGCTCGAGGCCTCCCCAGCCTCCCTTCTTTCGCCCAGGGGACGAGGAGGAGGCGGAGCGACAGGGACGGAAGGCGAAGGCAGGGAGAAGGAGAGGAGGCGAACGGGAATGGGGGGTGCGAGGAGGAAAGGGAGGGCGAGGGGATGAGCATATGAGCATAGCTTCATGGTGCAGACCGCCCAGAGACGATGCCCAGACACTGGGGAGGTACACCAGGCGCGAGCAAGGGCTTGTCGCCTTGCGGCTCGCTGCCCCGCCGATCACACCCCGCACAGCCATGGTTCACCCGTGGGGGGCCCGCGGAGCAATCGCCAACGGGGGTTGCACAACTGGCATCGTTCACCTACAACGGTTTTCAGCCTTTTGCTCAAAGAGTTGTAGGGCCAGTAAAGGGAACTGGCCGACGGGCACGCGCAAACGGAGCCTCTCAGGGAGCACGACGCTTCCAATTTGGGGACCGCTGCCCAGGAGGGGGCCCGAAGGTCCCATAGGGCTCACGTGCCACATGGCACCGTCACGCCGCGGAAATGCGCGATCTGCACGCAGCTGTCGCCGCAGCAGAGGGCCATTGTTCTTACCGCACCGCCTGCAGATGCTGGGGAGCCGAGCTCATCCCTGCCCGCTCGAAGAAAAGGCCACCCTCCTGGGCCCGCATATTGTGCCCAACGCTCTTGCCAGGACGCCCCGCGAGGGGAGGAGAAGGGGGAGTTGAGGAGGAGTAGGAGGAGGAGGAGGAGGAGGGGATCTTGTACCCAACGCTCCTGCCAATGCCCCATGAGAGGGGGGAGGAGGAGGAGGAGGAGGAGGAGGAGGAGGAGGAGGAGGAGGAGGAGGAGGAGGCGGAGGCGGAGGCGGAGGCAGAGGCTGAGGCTGAGGAGGCGGAGACGAACTTGGCGGGGACGGGTGCGAGGGCGCCACGGGGGCAGCCTGCCCGCCTGGCCCCCCTGCGCGCTCGCGCACGAGGCCCGCCAGCCCGCGCGGGCGATCGCAGGCCGGCGAGACTCCTGTTGGCGGTTCGCACATGGGGGAAGAGGGGGGGGGGAAGGCTTCTTAGAAGCAGGCTGGTTCTCAGAAGGCGCGGGCCTTGCCTGTACAGATGTAGGGCCGCCGCCTTCTGAGAAGCAGCCTCCTATTCTAAGAAGCCCTCACCCCCTCCCCCCGCCCCCTTGTGCGCGCCGCCAATCCTGGCGCAGGGGCGTGCCGCCAGGATTGGCGGCCCAGGGTGGGCCCAGAGCTCGCGCGTGCTCGCCCGCCGCGCTCTCGTGGCGTGACCCCTCCACGCCCGAGGCCTCCCCCCGCGCTCCTCCTCCTCCTCCTCCTCCTCCTCCTCCTCCTCCTCCTCCTCCTCCTCTCCTCCTCCTCCTCCTCCTCCTCCTCCTCCGTCCTCCTCCTCCTCCTCCTCCTCCTCCTCCTCCTCCTCCTCCTCCTCCTCCGTCGTCTCCTCCTCCTCCTCCTTCCCCTCCTCCTCCTCCTCCTCCTCCTCCTCCTCCTCCGCGCCTGAGGCGCTCCCCCCGCGCTTCCTTGCCTCTTGTTTTGTGTGCTCTAGCCGCCCGCGGCCCGCTGGTTTTCGAATGCGTGGGCGCAAGTGTGTCGGGAGCTCCGGGACCGCACACCGAAAGAATTATGATGTCTAGATCATCCGCGTCCCACAATTCAGCGGTCGGCAATGTCCGGCCCTCGCTGGGGGTTGATGTGCTGCATGTGCCCAAAGAGATTGATTCGTCGTCTTGCTAGTGTCCCTGCCCAGCTTTACACCGCTGGCCGTAACTAATTGGAACGTCGGAGGAACAGTGTGTACGTCTGTGTCTCGCCTCTGCCAGCTTCGGCCGTCCTCCTTGCTCCCTGCATTGTCTTTCGTATCCTCTCTCTCGCCTCTGGCGGCCTCGGCCGTCCCCCCTTTCCCTCGAAGGTGCCGTGTGCCACCTTTTCTCATCTTGCGCTTTGCGCCCATGTTTCGCGCGCTTGCGCCCTTGTTGTTGCGGCCGCAGCAGCTCTGCGTGCCCCGCTCTCTCCCTCTTTCTCTTTTTGTTTTTTTCTCTCTCTCTCTCTCTCTTGCTCTTTCTCTCTCTCTCTCTCTCTCTCTCGAGCAAAGAGAACAGCACACAAACACACACTCACTCACTCACACACACACACACACTCACGCACGCACTTTTAAGGGGGGCGGTCGCGGCCTCGCGTGCAACGACGAGCAGCAGTGTACGGCGTCACGGCCACACGACAGCGACAGGGCATGATGCAGAGGCGCACGTACAGGCGTGCGCTACACAGATTTCCTCCGACGTTACCCCACGCCGCAGAGAAAACATATTGAGGGTGGAGGGCGGAGGTCGGGCATGTCCCCCTGCAGGGGGATTTTGGACGAAAAATAAAAAATACGCAAAAACAGATTCAAAAGATGCCCAAAAATACTCCAAACATACTCCCCCTGTAAAGGGACAGGCCCGACTTAATGGAGGGCGGAGGCAGTGCCGGTGCGTCCCCGGAGCGACCCAAGTCGCGCGGTGCGCCCGTCGGGGCGAGAAGCGTGAAGCCGACCCGCTGGCGAGGCAGGCTGATCAGACGTGAGCGAAGGACGGAGGAGGCAGGCAGCGTGACGGAGCTGCGCAGGTCAGCGCTTAAGACGAGGACGAGGGCGTTGGGGCCGAGACAAGTCCCTATAGACGGACCACGCTGCTGAGAGCTGGGCTCCTCGGCTGGCGCCCCCCGGCCGGCCGCCTGCGTTGAACCGGGGTGGAAGGGGGATGAGGGCGTTGCTGAGCTGGTCGGCGGTGCAGCGCTCAGTGTCCAGCTCGGGTTCCTCGTCCTCGCCCGTGTCCAGGCCGCCGAAGGAGACCCGGCCACGCCAGGCCAGGGTCGCCTGTGGAGCGGAGGGGGCGCCCTCGGCAAGCTGGGCCCGAACGCGACTGACGAGGCTCCTCCGAAAGAAGACGGCCGAGGCGGACAAAGCTGGAGCGACTGAGCGCTCCAGAAGTGCCCGTTGCCGCGACGGAGGAGCCCCCTCGGGCACGTCGGTGGGCTCCTCGGTCCGCTCCCGCACCTTCGGGGCCGGGCGAGGCCTGGCATGGCCGGCGCTACCCGCGCGGGGGATCCACGGCGCGGGGGAGCGGGCGGCGGCGAGGGATGCGGGTCGCCAGAGGTCGCGCCAGGTCGGGAGGCGGGAGCCTCGCGAGGGCGACCCCGGGCCCGGGCGGGCAGGTCGTGAGAGGCGGAGGCACTGGGCAGCGAAGGCTTCCAGCCGGAGCCTGCGGCGCGCGAGCCGCGGCCCACCAGGGAGGCAGAGGGCGCACGCTCAGGTGCCGCCCATGGGCGGAGAGGGCGGCAGCCTGAGCAGGGGCAGCGCCACCGCGGTCTCCCGGCTGCGGTCGCTGCCGAGACCACACACACACATCTCGGCGTCGGCGGCCAGGCAGGGCAACTGCGCTGGCGGAAGAGCTGACAGAACGGGGGCACCGTTGCAGCGAATTGGGCAACACACACACACACACACACCGATCCTGGGTCCATGAAGGCGGCAGGAACGGGGTGCCTGCCTGGTTCTTGAAAGATTCTTACCTCGTCGTGATGCACGCACGCTCGCCCTGGCCTGGGGCCCACGGTCCATGCCCTGGGCGCGGCGGGCCCACGCTCGGATTCGAATTATCCTGGCTCGGCTGCCGACTTCCGCCGATCCGATCCATCTCGATCGCCGATCCGACTTATCGATTCGATTCTGGGCTCGCCTGCGAGAAGGGGGCGATGGCCAGGGACTTTATAGATTCCCAGATTTTATGGTGCCTCTTCTTCTTCTTCGTCTTATTCTTCTTAGTATGCTTCTTCCTCTTCTTTCCTTACGTCCCCTGCGCTCCCCCACCGCCATGATTTGTAAACTCCCTCTCGGCCTTCCCAATCTTGGACGCCCCCGACAGATGGGGTTCGAGCAGACGGGGTCGGAGGATCGCACCGTATCGCCGATGTATCGGTGATTCGGCTCGATACGGAGCCTGATCTTCTCCACGCCGTCGATGCCGATGCATCAGTGAGGTGGCGCGATCCACCGACCCCATCTACTTTTAAGTCTGGCCTGTCCCTCTACAGGGGGAAAAACATCAAAAATAGCCAAAACAAATTGTATGGGGACTATTGGTTTGGTTTTGTTGGGCATCTTTCGGGAATTTTTAGGGTATGTTTTATTGTTCGTCCAACATCCCCCTGTAGGGGGACAGGCCCGACCTAAATCTACTTCGGTCCCATCTGGCAGACCTCTAGTGTCCAGTGAGCACGCGGGCCCCCGCGTCGGACTTCAGGAGGCGAGGAAGGGGAGAGGTCATCGTCGACTCCCTAGAAAATATACGAAAATATGGGAAGTGGGGGGGAAGACGAACATCCAGAAATTCATCCTGGCGAAAGACCCAACCATATGCAGTTGTGGGTACCGCAGTTGTAAATATATTTTTTTGTGAACTCCTTATGTGGCCACGAAACATTGGTGGGGGAACGCATGCGGGCGGTAGCACTGGGGCCGTCGGGGGAGCTTCCTATGGTGCCACGAAGCGCTGTATTGGGTGGGTGAAAATGGCAAATTGATTGTGTGTGTGGGACGCATGCGGACGGTTCGGTGGAGCTCCCTATGGGGCCACGACGCGCTGTACTGGGGGGTGAAACGCAGGGAGCAAGGCCTTTGCTGGGTGGTGGCGGACGCATGCGGGCGGTGCCACTGGGACCTTCGGTGGAGCCCCTTATGGGGCCACGAAACGCTGTAGTAGGTAGGTGAAACTCTGGGAGCAAGGGCTGAACCTTCGGTGGAGCCCCCTATGGGACCACGAAGCGCTGTATTGGGTAGGTGAAACGCAGGGAGCAAGGGCTGTGCTGGGTGGTGGCGGACGCACGCTGCGGTGCCATTGGGACCTTCGGTGGAGTTCCCTATGGGACCACGAAGCGCTGTATTGGGTGGGCGAAACGCAGGGAGCAAGGGCTGTGTTGGGTGGTGGCGGACGCATGCGGGCGGTGCCAGTGGGACCTTCTGTGGA